TAACACCTGGCGCGCTCAGTTGCGAAAACCCGATCTCAGCTCAATCGCAGACTACCGGACGCAAAGAAACTCCCATGGCCGCCATTTGGGGCACAATGGTACGCTGGGTGCACAACTTTGATTATAGGGAATTCACTCAAGGCAGGAATTCGTGAGTCCATCCTGTTCCACCGAAACGATCTTGTAGCGGTAGAGTCACTTATGCTGAGATCTATCTTCAAAAAGGCTTCGTCGCCTTCGATTGGTTGAAGTCACTTTTGCAGGATGAAAACGGCAAGATTTCTGGACCAAGAACAGTCATCGCAGGTTTCGGCGCAGGATTTACAGAGTCATTGCTAGCCGTTACTCCATTTGAGAGCATCAAAACACAATTGTCCGTTAAGTTCTGACCCTCATCGTACCATCGTACTGGGCCATAGCTTCTGCTGCGGATTGTACGAATAGAACTAACTGCGTCTGATGTCAATGAATACTGCAGGATCGATGATCGCAAATCACAAAATCCTCGCATGCGTGGATTCTTACATGGCAGTAAAGTGATCTTTCAGGAGCGGGGTGTTCGCGGTTTCTTTCAAGGCTTCGTCCCTACGACTGCACGACAGGCTGCCAACTCAGCTGTTAGGTTTTCGAGCTACACAATGTTGAAGCAAATGGCCCAGGGTTATGTCGCTCCAGGTGAGAAGTTGGGAACCGCGAGCACTTTCGCTCTGGGAGGCATTGCAGGCCTCATCACTGTGTACGCCTACCTACCCCTCGGGTATTGCTTACGATCATTATACTAACACTCTTGTGTGATAGCTATGTTACGCAACCTCTTGATACTGTCAAGACAAGGTATGTATCTGGCAGGCCGGGGATGCATCAATTTCAAAGTAGCCGTACTCTGACACAACAGCAGGATGCAATCGCTGGAAGCCAGCAAGAACTACAAGAACAGTTTTGTCTGCGCTGCGCGTATTTTCAAGGACGAAGGCATCTTCACCTTCTGGTCTGGTGCTGTCCCACGGCTAGCGAGATTGATTATGAGCGGAGGCATAGTGTTTACGATGTTCGTGCTAAAACACCCCTTTCGCTGAGTGTGCATGCAACTAACCCTCTTACAGGTACGAGAAAACCATGGATGCTTTGGATGGTCTCGATCCGGAAAGGCGATACATTTGATGGGGAGCACTTTGGCCAGTAGGTGCGACACATGGTGAGAAACACCATTACTATTCGGAATGCCCGATGCGTGTGAATTTATAGTGTGCCATATGATATGACTGTATCTACATCATGCCTATAAGCGAATAGCTGTCTTTTCGATACCTTGACCCTAACGCGGTTGGGCACGCAGTCCTTCTTTATCTTGGACTGATTCTTCAACAGCCAAGGCCTCTATTTCGCGCTCGACGAGCCATGTCCGTACGCTTTCCATTACGGTTTCTAGGCCCTCGCCACCATCGAGAACACTATCCAGGTTGTGTATGGTGAGGCCGCTGCGATGGTCTGTGCAGCGATTCTGACCGTAATTGTAAGTCCGGATCTTGTCACCGCGTCCCATTCGAGCAACACCGCCCATTGCTCCTCTCCTTAGGTTAACCAATTCCTGTTCTCGGGCTTCTCGTCTTGCTTCAGCTATTCTCGCCCGTAAAACCTGCCAAGCCTTCTTTCGATTGGCATGTTGGGAACGTGAATCTTGCATGGAGACAACGGTTCCCGTTGGTATATGGGTTAATCGAATAGCTGACTCGGTTTTGTTGACGTGCTGACCGCCTGCGCCACCGGCTCGCATCTTCTCTGTGCGAACCTCTTGAGGATCCACATAGTAGTCGCTGTTTGGGTCCTCGAAATTGAGTGAACTATCCAGGCCGCTCCCGGAGTCTGGAAAACTAGGAAGTATCATCACACTAACGGCACTGGTATGTGTGCGGCCCTTCGCCTCGGTGGCGGGAACCCTCTGTACTCTATGGACTCCCGACTCCGTTCTCAGGATGTCATAGGCCCCATCCGCGTCAACTTCCAGGACCGCTTCACTCAATCGGTCTTGCGCAGGGCCGTCTGCAACATCCTGTTTTATGAGGCTATACCTGAGACCACGACGGGAACAGAAGGCGATATACATCCTCAAAACCTCAAAAGCAAAAAGACCAGCCTCGTCACCACCTGCGCCGGGGCGTATTTCGAGCAAACATGGGAGGTCTGCGAATGGGTGGCGAGGTATAAGGGCCTTCTTCAGATTATCCGCTATGGCAGGTAGCGCGACCTTGCTGCTCTCCAAATCTTCAGCTGCAAGCGACCTCAGCTCAGCATCGGTTTCCGGGTCATTAAGCAATGACAAAAGTTCAGATATAGACTGCAATTTGTCAATAAAGCTCAGTACATAAACACATTGGAGAAAAACATACACTATTTGCGTGTTCCCACTCTTTTAAGGTACTTGCGATTGGCGCAAGTTCACCCACTCTTTTGGCAAGTTTCGCATCGAAGACCTCGGCCAAATGAGCGGAGAGTGTGGAATGTTCATTGGTCAGAGAACGAGCGCGTGCTAAGAGGGCTTGTGAAATGCCGGCGGAATCTACATCGGACCATATTAGTTTATTGCTAGACAATGAAGCAGACATAGATATAAAGGTATAGCAGACCAGTTTTTAGGCCGCGCCGTTGTAGAAACGGACGGGGATTGGAGCCAATCCTAGCAGCAGACCGCACGAAACATCGAGCGCATATCCAGGGCGCGTTGAACATGTTCTATCGAGCTGTGATTGAATAAACCATGCTCGTTGGTCCCGACTCGAGAAAACCAGCTGCTGGAATCTCGGCTAGCTGGAGATTTGGGGCATGCGGAGGTTGTGATATGGCAAGTACGGATACGGGATTAACAGCTCCATACGGGAATCTAACGGATGGTAATGTTACCGTATGTAATGTTGTCGTAAAGGCCAGACTGGAAGAAGACGGTCATGGATCAAGCTTCCTTTTTCCTTCCCCTTCGACGAAGGACGATATAGTGTCTGTCCTGCCCGCTACTGTTGGCATTGATAATATGTGAAAGTGCTTTCTGACCTTTTCAGGGTCCCTCACGCTCTTTTTAACCTTCAAACCTCTGTCATCCATTTCATACTGACAATACGTCCTGACCTACTATGATACTTGCGCCATAACTTAATCCTGCTTCCATCGTCAAAGTCCCATTCCAGGTGTCTTACGGACTAGACGAACATGCACTTGCCTCTGACATCTCTTACGGTCTTTCTGGCCTTTTTTTCCGCTGGTCATGGCCTCCAATCTTCCCAGATTCCCTCTGACACCCCATTATCATCTTTGATCGCTTCTGCGAAAACTCACCTTGCGGGTGGTTCCCCCCGCGAGGCCTTGATGTATTTTGATGCAGCTGTGTCCAGAGATCCCACAAATTATCTTACACTCTTTCAGAGAGGTGCTACCCATCTGTCCCTTGGTAAAAGCTCACTGGCTCTTGAGGACTTCGACCGGGTTCTCCAACTGAAGCCAGACTTCGAAAGCGCTCTTCTACAACGGGCACGACTGAGAGCCAGCTCTGCTGACTGGGCAGGTGCGTTGGATGATCTTGATAAGGCTGGTAAGGGGTCCACACCAGAGTATCAAGAACTCCGCGATTCGCGTGATGCTGCGTCTGCCGCGCTGGAAGCGGAAAGTCGCGGAGCCTGGGATGTCTGTGTAAGCCAGGCGAGTGTAGCTTTGTCCAAGGCAACCATGTCTTTGAGCCTGCGGCGGGCTCGGGCACATTGTCGCTTTGAGACTGGTGAAACAGAACAGGGAATCAGCGATCTTTTTCACGTGCTACAAATTCACCCGAGCTCCTTGGAGCCCTATCTACAGATATCATCTACACTTTTCTATGCCTTGGGAGACACAGACCGCGGTATCGCCCAAATACGCAAATGTCTACATTCTGACCCCGATTCCAAACCGTGCAATCGCCTTTACAGGAGGGAAAGGCAGCTCGTAAAACAGTTGCAAAAACTGGAGGACGCTCTGAATGCGCGAAAACACAATAACGCCATCAATATACTGGTAGGAGTCGGTAGTGAAGGCGGTCTTCTTGATGACGTGCGGAAGGATGCTGCACAGGCGAAGGAGGATGGTAATATCCACCCAAAAGCCCCGAGCAGCCTTTATGCCTCACTCGTCGAACGAACCTGCGACGTTTTCCGAGAGGTTTGTGGGACACCTAACCCCTGCTGAACATCACCCTTTCCGCGGTACATGACTAAATCTCGTATCGCTTCTAGGCGCAAATGCCCAAGCGGGCTAGTTCCTACTGCTCTGAGTCTCTAACTTTCGATCCCAATTCTTTACCAGCGCTGCTCCTCGAGAGTCAGCAAGCTATTGACGAGGATCGATTTGATGATGCTATACGGTTGCTAAATCAAGCCAAGGAACATCATTCCAGTTCGATGGAAGTTCAGACCCTGTTGCAGAAGGCCCAAGTTCTACAGAAACGCTCCAAGCAGAAAGACTACTACAAGGTTTTGGGTGTGAGCCGTGATGCGGACGAGAGGACCATCAAGCGTGCTTATCGGCAGCTTACGAAACAGCATCACCCTGATAAGGCCATTTCCCAGGGTGTTACCAAGGAGGAGGCTGAGAAGAAAATGGCCTCAATTAATGAAGCTTACGAGGTACTATCAGATCCTGAATTGCGATCCCGGTACGACAGCGGCGATGACCCCAATGACCCCGAGTCACAAAGGGGCCGGCCTTTTCAGGGGAGTCCGTTTGGGCCAGGCGGACAATTTTTCTTCCAGCAGGGCGGCGGTCAGCAATTCAAGTTTTCGGGTCAGGGCTTCAACTTTCCCGGCGGGTTTCCTTTCCGCTAATGTTGGGGTCTGGACTTCCAACTGCTGGAGGAATATACTGTACTTAAGTCATGCACCTTTTGTTTCTGTTCCAGTCTGTTTCGGGACTGGCAATCATTTTGTGCCTTAGCCATACCCTGGTCTTCTAATACAAGGCAATACTGTGTCTCAAGAAGCGTATTCATAAACATTCTGATGTCTCGCATTCGAGTAAACTGGACCTGGTTGATTTTGTTTCGATACGGATTGGCCTTGTGCTCTTCTCTACGTTCGTTCCATCCTTGCTCATCTTTCTGGGCGGTCTGTTAGGGGAACGTAGCTAACCTGGAACACCTTTTCTTTGCGGACTGAACCATCCTCTCTTTTTTCAACTACCCAAATATACTGTCCTCCCCCCAGCCCAAAGCTAGCCTCATCATCCTCCGCATCGACGGGTATGAACATTCGCCCTGGTGCGCGGAGCTGCTCGATGAGTACGGGGTGAAGGTGATGTGCGGCCGCGCCAACATGGATGGCGTCGTACGGTGCACCTTCTTTCCAGCCCAGACGACCATCGGCTGTAATGAATTTCACCCTTCCCGAGTCAAGAAAGCTACTCCCCTCTTTTGATTTGCGCATGTTGGTCTGTGCCAGTTCCACCAACTCCGGAATGTGGTCTACACCTATAACCTGGCCATCGGCTTCGCTTGTGGACGAAGGACTCACGACGAGGTTTGCAAGCACGTGGGTGAGGTAACCCGAGCCAGATCCGATGTCTAGCACACGCGAGCCTGGCTTCAGATAGTCGATGAGGTATTCACAGGCATGTCCATGCATGTGGGGAGCAGATATGGTAGCTCCATGCCCGATGGGCTGCGGTGAATCGGAGTATGGCCTTGAGGGCGCATAGTGGGCGCGATCAACCTTGCACTTTGGTTAGAAACGCCATTTCACCCAGAAAGCAGGAATGTTGTCAGGTCTTCCAGTGCCCTTTAAGAGGCAGACATGTGGCTAGGCGTGAAAGAATGGGGGCGGGGAGAAGGGGGTGAACCTTTCCCTCCGTTTGGGGTCCGGCGATTGTGTCAAGCAGGGGTAGGCACTGGCCGCAGTGTTTTGACAGTGTGTGAAGTCCAGGGATAGGAGCTACTACTCACGCCTAGCATGGCATTCTTCACTCTTTCATCTTTTATCAGACCCGTCTTAAACAGATTCGCGATGAGCTCGCTATTCGTGGAGCCGGAGCAATACCAAGCCATTGATAGGGACCTTTGCAGGAGCTTCTTAGGTAATGAGGATACTCTTATGGGTGTCTTTTTTGGCATGTAGCGTGCGACTGGTTTCTTTTACTTTAATCCGAGACAGCAGGCAGTGCCCGTCGCAGATGCCAATATCGGACCTGGCCTGTAGATGAGATCACTAGGCAAGCAAGTGTTAAGCTGCAGGTACGCTGCTTTTCACAGGAGCCGTTCACATGATGGTCGTAGCCTTAGGTAGCTATGACGCCATGCTAAACCGCCTCCGGTCACGTGTATGTACCCGGGGTTGAACCCCTTCAGTGTCTGGGAAGAAGGGGCACACCGGGGAGCTAATGTATTATCGGTTGCTTTGTACGGGATAGGCGGGCAGGTATGGTATATTGTATCATGCGGTGGAGTATTTAGAATATGGGCCCTTATATGTGACGGTATTTGTTCACTGGTTGGTGTATCACCATTTCATGGTACAGATGTATGTCTATACATATGAATATATATAAACTCGGGTATCGAGAACTACACCCATGCTCGGAGTCCATGTAATACATATTATACACTGAATACACGCGAAAATAAGTAATATGAGTCTAGTCAAGAAATCCGAATCCATAGCTTTTCAAAGCCTAGCAAGCCAAAATCACATAGACAAAATACTCTGTACCATCGGTCTCGACAAGCAAACAACCTAACCACGCAAGGGCCGGGTAACTTGTAGATACTAAGCACTAGCCGCATTGGCTTCATAACAATTAATAAGCAAGCATATTAACCAGGTATTAACCCACAGTACCAATTTAATCAACCAGCCAACCAATAACTAGTTAGTTACTAGGAGTAACTGACTACCAGTACTCCGCCAGTTAACCAACTGACCACTCAAAGTGACCTACTTAACTGACTGATCAACCAACAAGGGCCCGGGCCGGTAACCAGCCATCACATCTCCGAAAATTCACAGGACAAAGCATACTCTACTAGACCGGCCCATGGGTTGTGACGGGATTTAGAAGCCCACAGTGCGATCAGATGACCAGCAGAATGGCTAGATTGCTAGTTGATTGCATCACCCCACCATGGAATCGCCCACAGCAGATCCGGATACACAGGCTGAGGTAGATCTTATGATACTGGATTACCTCCTGTGCATGGCCATTGACCAAGTCCTGGACCCCGGGAATGGTAAAGTTGAAGATGACACTAGCTGGAGTCTCGATACGATCAACAGTATGGATATTCCTTCCGATGCGCCCGATAGTACATAGGTACTGACGTTTAACCTAACAGCCATCAAGACTGCACTCTTACCATCGGACACTCTTTCCAAAGACATGCAGATAAAAACCCAGATACTAGAGCTCGCACAATTGTTCAGTGATGGCAATGGAAAAACAGAGCCAAGCAGAGGTCTTGCTACTGGATTGTCGCAGGAAGACCAGCGCAGGAGTCCAATTACACGATCTGGAAAAAGCACCCCCCAACCATACCAGCCCCATGAGAGCGACAAACTACCCGCCCATGATACCCGGGTTGTCGCCGTTGATAGATCCTACAATGCGCTAGTCCGATTTGTCACCCTTTGCGGCACTGCGAGAGACAATTTACCAGATGGACACGCTGATATTGCTGCGAAATTGATAACCGAAGCTGCACTGAACGAGTACCACACTGCGGGTGTTAAGGCGCCAGGCATGTACAGAGAATGCATTGAACGTCTCACTGCGTGCCTGCGCGAAGCCTTGGATCCGTACGTAGAGCAGGTAAATCTAGCATACCTGAGCACCCTGTTACCATCCATCGACCTTGCATCAGCCGAGTCGGAAGGATCTGGGCGGAAGTCACCACGCGGAGATACTATTACCCGCTCGGTACATCGTTTCCTGACCGACCTCATGAAGACACTAGACCCTCCAATACTCATTCAACTCGAGAGAGGGAAACTTGGAGGACTGAGCCGTGAAGAGACCCAGCAGTTGAAGGACAGGATAGGGCTTTGATAGTAGAGAACGTCTTGGCATGTACGTATATGGTAATCTGAGCCAAGTTGTTGGGATTCCACGACAACCATAGGCAGCAATGAAGCTTAATGAAGTTTGTATTGTAAGCTGATACGCTTGGTTACATCTCCGTACAGGACTGTTATTCTACAATTCGAGAGCGTAAGTGCAAAAATAAGAGGCAAAAGGGAATGATTGATATGTGCCCAAGACCTCCAATACCCAACAGACTAGTTCAATCAGCGTGAGAAATCTAGCCCAGCAGCATCCGACGGGGGTCTTCGATGTATTCCTTGACCTGCAATAAGCCAGAGTTAGCACACAATCCGGAAGAAAATGTCCAAGAAGAATTATTAACCTTAACCAAGAAAGTTACAGCCTCACGACCATCCAAGAGTCGGTGATCGTAAGTCAGGGCAAGATACATCATCTGTTCAAAGTATTAGCGACCACTACGGCCTTTCCTCCCTTTCTATGTTTTCATGCAGAAGTGTGGGGACATACAGGGCGAATTTCAACTCTACCGTTCACAGCCACCGGCTTGTCCTTGATTGCGTGGAGTCCGAGAACAGCTTGAAAAGAATTAGATATACATCCAAGCGACACACCAAGATTCAGACCTACCTGTCTGTGGGAGGTTGATAATGGGAGTTCCCATCAGAGAGCCAAAAACCCCGCCCTAAGCGTACTGTTAATACCTAAGCGAACACCTGGTAGACAACAAGTAAGCACTCACATTGCTAATGGTGAAAGAGCCCCCGGCCATGTCCTCGATGGTCAACTTATTATCACGAGCCTAGCAAAAAGCACGTTAGCCACCTTTCATTCAAGCCAGCTTCCAGATAACCTCCAACCTTCTTGCCAAGATCCGCGATGGCCTTCTCAATGCCAACGAGGTCCATGGTCTCTGCATTGCGGACCACTGGTGTCACTAGTCCTTTCTCAGTAGCAACGGCCACGCTGATATCCACGTAATCACGATAAACAATGGTGTCTCCACCATTGGGACCCTCGATGGAGGCATTAACAGCGGGAACGTCTTTCATGGCGAGAACACAGGCGCGAGAGAAGGCACTCATGAATCCGAGTTTGACACCGGTCTTCTTCAATACGTCGTCCTTGTACAGCTTGCGGAACTCCATGAGAGAGGACATGTCAACTTCGTTGAATGTAGTGAGAGAAGCTGCGGTGTTCTGGGACTGCTTCAGACGTTCTGCGATTCTCAATCTCATCCTGTTCATTTTAACCTATCGAGAAAGCAGGAAGATCCAATGTTAGTGGAGGAAAAAAGAAGGTTGATGCAGCCAATCGGCCGGGTACATACCCTCCTTTCTTCGCGACCCCCAACGCTGGGCTTGGCAGGTTCGGAGGCCTGAGGCTTTGTAGCTACCGGCTCTGTTTTCTTTGAGGGACTGGGCTCCGAAGGTGTGGCCTTCTCGGATGAAGACTGGGGTGCTTCGGGTGCCTTCGGTTTCTCAGGTTCGGAAGCCGTGGGCTTGTCAGCAGCAGCTGGCGCGGCCGGCTTTTCATTTGCGTCTTCAGTCTTGGTTTCAGGGGCACCTCCAAGCTCCAACTTGACAAGGTCCTGTCCAACTGTGACGGTGTCTTCCTCGCCCACAAGGAACTCTTTGATGGTACCGGATTCAGGGGCATTAACGGATACATCAATCTACACAAGTGAGTCGCTGATTTATATTTCACAGGGGTATATCCGCTGTAGCGGGAAGCGGCCATCGCCTGGTCTCAGCGCTTACCTTGTCAGTCTCGATGGTTGCGATCTCCTCGTCCCGTTCAACGTAGTCGCCGATCTCTGCCGCCAATATTAGCCCAGTCCATTGATACGTCGAGCGCTGAGACCTCACGTTTGGAGAATTGCTTCAATGTCCCTTCGGTGATCGATTCCGCCATCTGTGGAACCTTGACAACAGTGTCCGCTAACCGGAAACAACAACAGGCATTAGTAAAGTAGCGTTTCGAGACAGTGGAAGGAGGATATTACCATAAGTTCGCACCTGAGCAGCCGCGAAGGGAGCGATACCGAAGCGAGACATTTTGGGTCTATGGCAACAGTTAGTCGTTGATTGCTATTCAACAAACAAGACTTGGTACCACTGACCCCAGAGCCGTAACCTGCTGGAGACCCGCGCTTGACTTGAGAGGACCATTGGCGCTTTTCTGGGAAGCAATGGACATCAAGCTTCTGGCGCGGCCAATGTGGAGGCTGCGGGAAACGCTGGCGTTTCGATGAAGAGTCCTCAGGTGTTGCCCAGAGAGGCGATGAAACGGTAATCGAGAAGCCATAATGACTGGCTTGGGTCCGTCTGGATAATCAGACTAACGAAGATTGTAGAGATGTAGCCGGGAGTTGTGGTAGCACAAACTAGGCCCCGTAAAGAGTGGACGTTGTTGTTGTTGTTAGGCTCTAGTCCTAGTCCTAGGTATGGATATTTCCTGTCGGGAACTGTAGAGTGACGAAACTTATGTCAGTCGAGGGCACTGCAAGCTCAAGCCCGGGCCGAGACAACCGGAATTTCCCTCAACGAGCGCCGGCATTCCCTGCGCCCGGCAAATGAACGGAGTATTATTATTACGCTACTGCGGGCGTCGAAAAGCACCAACTTGGTACTTTCGTGACCCGCATAGGATCATTAACGGCTGGGTAACTGAACGAGCTGTAAACTTCGTGCAAAAATCAATATAGACTACAACCAGACGGCCGTGGTTCACAAACACGGCAGACCCGAGAGAAAAGTGTCTTAAGACAACTCACGCCTACGGAACGGAACTGCTGCAGAATCAGGATGCCTCTCAACGCTGGCGCGTAGGTTGACCAAAGGAAGAGCGAATAGAAGATATCCTGACTTTGTTGTCCAGTTCACTTTATCGACGGTCCCTGAAACTGGCCCTTGATTGGGCCGTTCACCGCCATATCTGGAGAGGACAAGCTGTGTATATCCGCTCACTTTTCGAAGCCAACAAAGATGTTCGCGATCCCCGTCAGCAGAAGGTAAGTGCTGCTTCTCACTGCATTGAACAACTAGTGTTCATAGAACTGACGGTAAAATGAACAGGTACTGCTTCAAGAGACAGAGAAGCTCCTAGAGACATGGAAACACCCTGACCCTTACCGTGCACCTACGGCCCCGGGTGGTAAGTCTGACCAGAGTGTGCTTTATGAAACGGATATCTTGATCTGACATTTCTATAGGCAGCAAGTACGAGAGAAACATTCCCGCCCCTCAATTGCCCCGTGAGTGAACCAATAATGACCTACTGAATGCATCGAATATTGACGCGGCAATATCTGCTAGTTGCTTCGGACAGCTCGGCACACTGAGTATGACTGCAGCTCCTTTGCGCAGTTATCTTGTATTCCTAGGTCCATAGATGAGAATAAATTGACTACTACATCCATATATCCCCGGGGACCTTTAATTGCTTAAATAACGGGCCACTTTTTTAAGGTGAAAACAGCTCAACGGACACCATTTGGTCTTTACAAGGCGAGCGCACTCCTTACACGAGTCTTGACTAGGATAGAAAATTGAATCCGTGAAAATGCTGTCGGTATCATTCCATGCCCGTAGACATAATGTACAACCATAAACTGTGGAAACTAGAAAAAGAAAACGCAGAGCCATAAACGTTCCGACCAGAACCCCGTTATCACATCAATAAGAGAACCAAACCGCGCCGAATCAGAGAACCCAAATTAGAAAGAAATTGTTTACAGCTCCTGGCTTCCCGGGCCCTTTCCACTCTTGGGGGTCTTCTTGGGCAGAAGGTCTGTGTATGGTCAGCACCACATGTTGGACTTTCAGGTGGAGCTGGAACTTACTCTGGTGGATGTTGGGGAGGACACCACCCTGGGCAATAGTGACGTGACCCAGAAGCTTGTTCAGTTCCTCATCGTTGCGGATGGCGAGCTGAAGGTGACGAGGGATGATACGGGTCTTCTTGTTATCGCGAGCAGCGTTGCCAGCCAATTCAAGGATTTCGGCGGCGAGATACTCAAGGACGGCAGCGAGGTAAACGGGAGCACCTATTGTAGGATGTTAGACATATCCTTTGATAGGACACTTTTATGATAAAACGAGTATCACTTACCGGCACCAACACGCTGGGCGTAGTTGCCCTTGCGGAGCAGACGATGGACACGACCAACAGGGAAGGCGAGACCGGCCTTAGACGAGCGGCTGCGATTTCGTGTCAGTTTAATATCTCGAAGAAAACGCGAGATGGACGGGTGGCATACGATTGGGCGTTCTTGCTGCCGCTGGCCTTGCCTCCAGATTTGCCTCCAGTCATTTTGATAGGTGGAATATGAGTTTTCGTGAAGGTGTTTAATTAAGAAGTTGTGGTTAACAAGTGACGATGGCGATAAGCGGGATACGGTGCTAAAGGGTTGACGGCCAACGCGAGGGAGCGGAGGACATATATAACAACGCGATCAGGGTGACGTTGGACTACTCGGGAGCCTTTCAGATCACCCTCTCGCTTAGCGGGGTCAGCCAATCACAAATGAGATCATGCTCCGGCGCACCCATAGCTTGGCAAAGAGTCTTTGGTATGATTCCGCGCGTGGTCGCCCCCAATACAGTTAAGCGTGGTAATTAATCATTCTAGTTTCGATACGGTTATATTAGCGTGATCTTAGTCAACTCCCCACAATGGACGACGCGTTCTCCCTCATCTAATCATACAGATCATACACAAGTGTGACCGTATTGAAATTCTGCTTCTTTTGCGGACTCAGGATCAACTGAGTATTTGCGAGCTAGTATAAGTAGCGCGCCTCCCTCGTCACCGCGTCTCCCTCATTCTTATCCTCATCTTCACTCTATCCTCTGTCGACGCCAACGCAACCACCGTACCTTATACTTTTATCACAACTCTTCATCTTTCATACCTAATCTCAAATCTTTCAATATGCCTCCCAAAGCCGCTGAGAAGAAGCCCAGCACCGGTGGCAAGGCCCCTGCTGGCGGCAAGGCTCCCGCTGAGAAGAAGGAAGCCGGCAAGAAGACTGCTGCCGCTGCCTCCGGCGACAAGAAGAAGCGTGGAAAGACCAGGAAGGAGACCTACTCCTCTTACATCTACAAGGGTGAGTGGTTTTAAGGCATCTAGTTTTAGATGATAATTATTGACTTTCGTTCGTAGTCTTGAAGCAGGTCCACCCTGATACCGGTATCTCGACTCGCGCTATGTCCATCCTGAACTCTTTCGTCAATGGTATGTTGTGAAACGATTCGCAGTCTAAATTTCAGCAAATACCTAACGCGTCCTAGATATCTTTGAGCGTGTCGCGACCGAGGCCTCGAAACTTGCTGCTTACAACAAGAAGTCCACCATCTCTTCACGGGAGATCCAGACCTCGTAAGTGCTTTGCAGACCAAAACGGTATTAAAATAACTAACTTCTTCTAGTGTGAGGCTCATCCTTCCCGGCGAGTTGGCGAAGCACGCGGTGTCCGAAGGCACCAAGGCTGTCACGAAGTACTCGTCGTCTGCCAAATAAGCATTTTCATTTCTTTGTTTTCTTTCTGCAGGATTGTTCTTTTGCTACCTCGTCATCTGTTACGGTTTTGAGGTGGTGGGTTACAGGGTGTTTGCGGGATTCTAATGTGTCATGGGATGGCTTTATTTCTTTTTTTTCCCTTGGGCCAAATGTTTATGGTTGCTTTTTTTTTTGTGACGTGAATGCGGTGTAACATAACTCGGATGTGGGGTTGGTTGCGCGGGTTTACCTTCCTCAACAGAATTCGAATATCAAATTGCCTAGTTGCATGTCTATAAGATTAGAGCGCAGTGGTGCATCGTTTCTAGGCTGGGTACTAAGGTTAATCCATCTAAATGTATTGACAGCAAGAGCTATTCGATATCATCCAGCGCTTCAACCTGGTCAAGTGCTTCTGCTTCCTGATCGTGGTCAGGATTCATCTGCTTGAGTACATGGATTATCGGCCGTCCCTTGACGGCTTGTATGCGGTTTAACCAGTCGTCCCAATCTTCCTGGTCTCGGATGAGGAAGCCTATAAGCATGCTCGGATCCATGTCCCGCACGTGAATTCTTCTCAAGCGCCGTGTATGATAAGTATCAACCTCCTCTTTTGAGTATAGTTCGCCTCCTTGGCGATCTGGAAGCGCAGGGCGGGTATAATGTGGATCTAGATAGAATAGATGTGACCCTTGGGCTCCAACAAAGTAGTGTGACGCCGACGGGCGTCCCCTAGTGATGACGTCAGCTTTGATGAAGAGAAATAGCTCACGGGTGGGCAATATACCCTGCAACTCCGACTGATTGAGGGAACTGCAATGTGGCTTTTAGGCCATCCCAATAGACTGGAGTGATATGGTCGATGCCGAGCCTTGTTCCTAGCAGTATCAGGGTAGGCTGAAAGACACCGGAAGAGTTTCGGGCGACATTCATGAACCTGTCCTGGTAAACTTCCGATGTATCATTAGAGACATAGACCTTGAGTGTAGGACTTCCACACTGTGCCGAAAGTGCTCTGTGTCGTTGTTCAGTTTACTTCTTTATATTAGCTGCTAGATGCAATGCGGAACATACTCTATGCACTTGGCCGTTGCGGAGGGCCCAAACCATTCCCCTGGGAACTTCCCACACGATTCGGCGCCATGCTTGACGAACCGATGTACAGAGAAGGGGGCAGTTGGTGTGTCGGCGAAAAGAGACAGTAGCTGTGACTCTTCCTCGAACCTCGCTCCACGGCGCCAGTCTGGTCGGATGTTAGCAGTACATCCAGGTCACGCGTGTAAATGATAGTACCACGTCCTAGGACCAACGTAGATAGTGCATTTGCCAGCAGGCTCTGACCGGAGCGTATCATACAGCCCCAGCCAGTATCGGATGTAAATCCTTGCGTATCTACTAATTGGCTTCTTAGGCGTACCCCCAGTGTCATTGATGCACTTTTGTCGTCTCCCTCGACTCTGGGTATCGGGGGGAAATTGGACCTATACGTCATCCAGATTCTTGATTCAAAATCCAACAGGAACGACTCGGGCCACGCATGTTCTGATGGTTTCCGATAGTTGGTCGTTCCCGTCGCGTTATCTCGGGCGCTGTTCTTGTCGGCTGGCACCGGTATCAGTATGATTTGGAACAAATGCGTCTTTTAACAAGACACGAGTAATTATGTTTTGCTTGGGCTTACGTGTCTCCCCCCTTGGGCTGACATCCTTCTCGGGGTGATACTCTATTCCTAGGCACCATATCGAGGAAGTGGGATCTTCATCATTCCTGGGCTCTGGGTCCCAGAGATACTGTACGATGCGTTTGCTGCACCGTCCTATGTCGACTGTATTCATGTCTGCTATCGTTCCGATACTCTAGGTTGCGCTTCCCTGGTCGCACAGACAGAGACGGTAGGGGTTGGTGTCGCAGTACGTCACTAGACAGGTCTGCACTATATATTATCCTCGGCCCGTTGGAGACGGGAAACCTAGACGGCGGGGCTCTGAGGGAGAGACATTAATAGTGCAACGCACTCTCCAAAAGTAATATAATGACAGTTACCAGCGCGGCAGATCACAAGGTTGGTAGCGGCTAAAGAAGAACAGTTAACCACAAAAGGGAGCTTAGTGTGACCAGGAGGGGTCATACAGTATCTATGCATTTAGTTGTAGTCACGGGGCCAGCTAGGGCGGGAGTTGCTACTACGGCTGAAAAAGCTTAGAGAAGGCTACCTATCATAGGCCCTTACCTATTCACACCAAAGACTCAGTAAAATTCTAGTAACCCTGACCAGTCTTGACATCGTATGTGGGAAAGATACTAGGCCTTACTATCTCTTAGTGAATCAAGGCCACCCAGACCCTCAATGATAAAGCCCGCCTGTGTACCCCACCGGGCACCTTCGCCGCCTGCCATCATTACATAAGTGAAGATATGAGACCGCAGATAACACTGCCAAGAGCGAGGGACTAGATTAAGCTCCGAGGCAGTAAAGGTACCATCTCCAGTCGCTTATCCTCATCCGGTCGACGAAACACCCCTCTGTCTCCCAACCGACAAAAGGATTACCATCATATCCTAGGATAAGGCCAAAGGGAAAAGGCAGTAAGCCAAGCGGAAAGAAAAGGCCTGGAAGATGACACGATCCAAGGCAAAAGTTCGGAACAAGAAGCAGAAATCAGTGGCAGATGATCTTCTAGGTACTGTATCATAGTTGTCACTACTTCACGTTACAGTCACATTACTGACTCTTCTAAGACCTCGGCAAAAATCATCTTACAATGCAGCAAGAAGCGCGCAACACTGAAGGACGCAGCCTATGGCGGACTGGTGCCTCACTACGCCACCAAACAGTCCGTTTTGTGAGCGCCCAGGACATTGACCGGGAGAGTGAAACGCAACCCCCCCCAAGCACAATCGAGATAAGCGCACGCGAAGAGAGTCTGGAAACACGGACGACCCAGGATTGTGATCAAGCAACGGCTACGTCTCTGTCAGAACGCAGGCCGGGGACCGAGGACTCGCCCCTCTGTGTTGAGTTACTTGACGACTTCGAATCCACAGCGATATCGGATTCAATGAAACATCTCTCCAAGAAGTCTCATGACGATTCGAGTGAAGATGAGGTTGTGTTTCGTGGCAGGAGACACCAATATGGGGAAGGCAGATCACACCCGTCGGATACCCGGACGCAGAAAGTTATTGCCGGTAGCCAGCAACCAAGAGCATCCGAGCACAGCAAATTGGATTTCCTTTCCTCAAATTCTGAGCCCAAATCATTGCCCGCTCCCAAGCCTCCACAGACAGAAACATGCCCACAAGAAATGGACGATAGCCCAAATTACTTCTCGCTTACCAGCGATAAGCGGCGGCGCAAAAAATGGAAAAGAGACGATGATGACATACTCGCCGACTACATAGATAATATTGACACCGAGTACTTGATACCAGGGATACTGGGCAGCTCTCCGCACTCTGTTGAAGCTCAAGAGCCAGACAATGCCGACAAGGTGGTACCAACGTCCGCTACGGGCCTGAACTCCGCAGCTGAGAAGAAACTGCAGCAAAGCGAGGCTTCCGCTCAACGCGATAATTTGACACTGAGCGATGAGCAAGAGTGCGGCGAAAATGAGGTTTTCGAGTGTAAGTGGAAATACTCAAATCTCTTGGTCGTCACGCCTGTGGGCGTTACTAACTGGGCAAAGGTCACTACAATCATTTGGACGAAGAAATCAGTCAAGAGGTATCCGTTAACCGAATTTCTCATGCGGATAGCGCCTCGACCTCTTCGTCAGACGGTTCGGACACAGAGGACATAGAAGAAGACAAATCTGAGGTAAGAAACCTAACCATTCCACGTCTGCTAGACATCCACCCCTCGAAAATCGAACCACCCTGAAATATCACTACTGACTTCAAGCAGAACCTGCACGCGGATGGTAACAGCTTCTTTGCGTCTGCGACGGCTTTTGCTGATGCATTGGAATTTGATCCCTACTATGGATTCGATATCATGGACTTCAACCGACCAAGTGTGAAAAAGAAGTCTAAAGGAAAGGGCCGGTCCTTGGACATTAGTCTATCAGATAGTGAACTTGAGTCCGAGTTGGTAAATGCCTGGCAAAACGACAGAGCAAAGAAAAAGGCTAGAAAGCAAAAACGCGAAGAGCTGCGCTCCCAGGGCCTATTAGGCCGGGGCCGCCAAAACCCGTCCTTGAAAGACAAATATTCCAATGGAATCGGCACCGAGGACCTGAGAAGCGAAATTCGACATTTCCTCCTGTCACCAAGGAATAGGTACATATGTTCCCTCCTCCTCAGTGAATCAGACTGCTTCTGGTATATGATATCTGACACTTTTTCTTTGCAGCTTGGCTTTGCCTCCCATGTCGAAGCAACACCGCAAACTGGTCCACGAGTTGGCCAATGTCTTATCTATGAAATCGCAATCTCGAGGCAAGGGGTCCTCGAGGTTCCCCATCGTAAACAAGACCTCACGGACTCCTGCATATTCATCCAAAACAATATCTCAAATGGACCGTATATTATCAAATGGGCGTGGGCAACGCGGGCTCAAATCCCGCGACTCGAAGCCGAGCAAGCCTAGCAAGTCGCGCCGCGGGCGAACCGATGCAACTGTTTCCTACATGGATGGTGATGTCGTCGGAGGATCGGCACCTGAAATTGGTGCCGAGAATAAGGGCAGGGCTATGCTTGAGAAAATGGGATGGAGCATTGGCACTCCCCTTGGTTCTATGAATAACAAAGGTATTCTTCAACCTGTTGCACATATTGTGAAGAACTCGAGGGCTGGGTTAGGATAGGTAGCATGTGCAAGCGATAGTCAGAGCAACTTGGTACTCTCAGCTTCCTTTCCTCTCCATTTTTCTGTCTTCCTCAACCTACATGCTATGATTGGAGGTCAACTGGTTTGTTAGAGAAATACTTGTAAACATACTATCCGATATAGTGGTATTGAATCTCTGATAATGAAATATGTATATGATATAAGGCCACGATTAGTGCCAGGTGTTGATATATAAGCTCTTGGAAGGCGCAAATTTCCAAGGGAAACCAAAGTGGAATTTCTAAACCCTTTTCTTTCTATGCCGAGTGACCCCTTTCACCTGTGCGTGATCAGACTCTTTTAGATGTGAAAAAAGTTGGGTCCGTGAAGGAAAGGAAGCGCTGCATGTTGTACACTGCGTGCCTAGGGACTGTCCTTTTGCCTGTTCCGCTTTTTTTAAGCGCTTTTGTTTAGCCTTGCCCAATTTCTGAACGGCTGGCTTGGAGGGGTCAAGCTCTAGATGCGTAAAATCTGAAGGCAGACTAGCAGCCGCATCTGTCGTATCCTGCGTTGAATCACCGGTCAGTTGGAGTCGACCCTCGACAACCTCTCTTGATGCATAGTCAATTTCACTTTCTGAGTTTTGGTCGATATATCCCCGTAGGCTTTCGTGAGAATCGCGTTGACCATGGCTCTCACCGGCATCGTTTGGTGCTGGTATGTCACCTTTCTTATCATCATTGCCGAGTGTATTGCCTGACGTGGATCTGCATGGTGTGCTGTCGGCATTCGATACACGCATAGCTTGATCATCCGGGACAAATGTCATAGCAGCCTGAGCTTCATACTCTGATGAATCTCCGGCTAGTCCCAGCTGCTTGTTTTCATTCCTCATTTCTTTTTGAAGCTGCTTAATAGCTTTGACGTGCTTTTTGCTTCGCTCGTGTGCCTCAAACTGATTCAAACTCTTGAAGCTTTTGCGGCACACAACACATTCGAAGACTTCCAATTCTGTCTCAGTACTACTCACTGTCTCGTCATCTTCAAATTCCTCTGGCTTTGCCCAGACTTGCGTGATATGGTCTCGCAGCTTAGCCTGATTCGCTGCCCTTGATTTCGCAGCTTGGGAGGCGGCAGATTGTCGGAGGAATTCCTGGCGCTGTGACTCACTTTGGGTGCTTGTTTTGTATCGCGGGTCGCGCTTTTTGACGAAAGCTACGAGTGATCGAACAGCATCGTTGAATTCACGGATGCCTTCCTCCCTCAGGCGCTTATTTTCCTTCTCCATCAGTCTACGAACACGACGATCGGGAGCTTCTGAGTAACGATAGACATCTTTCCATGCAAACGACTTTTTTGTTGAGAAGCCGCCCCATGCAACGTAGAATGGGCGTACAACTCGTTCGAAATCATCCCCCCGGCACCCAAACGTCGGATAAGAAATGATTTCCACATTCTCCCCACGGCAAGCGATCTCTTCTTCCGCGGCAAGTCGTGAGAAGACCTCACGAAGACCACCGTAGAAGCCATCTGAGGAGTCTGAGAATTCCATCTGTGGACTGAACCTAGAAAAGATCCTATAGATATCGTCTGCAGTAGTCGTGCGCGAACTATGTGGACTGCCAGAGTTGCCAGAACTACCCTGGCTTCCTAGCAAGACATCTCGATGAGTATCGTACCACGAACGCTCCTGAGGGTCTGAAAGCACTTCGTAAGCAGACTGGACCTCTGCAAAAAGCTTTGTAGCAGATTCCACATTTCCATAGTTTCGGTCCGGGTGCAACTCAAGGGCTTTTCTTCTGTACGCCTTTTTGATTCTAAAGGGATTAAGGGGTGTTAGTGGCTTCAGGATACCTTCGCTACTCATCCCACCACGTCTCTCCTTCGAGGCCCGCATTCAATTCTCCTTCCCCATTCTGCGTGCTCTATTCACAAAAAACAATTCATGCGCAAGGTTTACAAAAAACTGACAGGCAAGGCAAGCTTACTCCTCTGCAGATGCGTCCCAATTCACCTGTAAAAGTTCGTAATAATCAAGTTTCTTATCAGGTGATCCAGCCGAAGAGC